ATAATCAATTTTTGAAAAATCAAGAAAAAAGTGAAAATTTCCCCTCTCGCTACCTTAATACTAATGAGACAGTTCTAAATTATTCAATTAGTAAAAGCCTCATTTTGAATATGTGGACGGCCACAGTTGCTATGTCATGTGAAGGCATGCATGTGAATTATAGGCGTAGACGATGTTTAAACAAACAATAAAGCCCAATTATCATCACCGGTAATTAATTCTGAGAGCAGTTAGTATTGATGCAGTAGGATTATAACAAGAATACTGCAATGTATGCATTAAGACGGTATACGTCAATCACAATTGCAAACGCACAGAGCTCCAGGAGATCCCATACTACCTGAGTGCATACTTTGCAGTATTCTCATGAAAACCTTACTATTATACACAAAATCCATTGTGGGTGACCCAAGTAAAATCCATAGATATTTGGTTATATAGGATTGTTTTCAAGCCTAATAATAATTATTTAATTACATCACCTTGTTAATTTAAACTAATGTTCGGGTAACACAATAATCACAAATAGTAATATTTATTGAGAAGAGAGCAAAGTGAATTGCATACCAATAACCAGCATGACTGGACAGTACACATGTACCATAGTTACTTTATTAGAATCTCCAAATAAAGCATATGTAAACTATCAGTTGCATTTATTATATTCTAGTGTACATATATCATTGTACAGTGCAGTCAGATCTGTATTAGAAGACATATCCAATCTCTCTGAACAATTGTGAACCAAAAAATTCATGATTTCTCATATGTGTAGATGTTCTAATAGAAGCCTCATTCCCTCTGTTGCATTATACAATTTTTATAGAAGCCACAGTTTCTAATATAGATTTTAGAGTACTCTGATATTACAGTCTCCAATAATAAACAGAACAGTTATAATCTTATGCAGTAGTGTATGAGCAGTTTCACGCAAGTTCTAGGGCAAAGAATTGATTTCTGATTGGACTACTTACGAACAACATTTCCTAACATCATCATAGTCAGTCATATCAATATCAAATACCAGTTCTTTTTCTAATGCTTGAAATGAAGTACCTTTCACCATCTTATGATCTTTGGGCTGAAAAACAAACAACAAATAGATTACAAAGGTCCACACCCTTCTCTATTAGCATTTGTTATGAATAAAATCACAATTACACCATCACATAACTATTTATGAAAAAGTATGCAGAATTAGAGGTCACTGCAAAGGAAGAATTAGTTTACATATACACACACAAGTATTGCGTACTAAATGTCCAATGATGGTATATACTAAAAAGATCAGGGGTTCTTCCAGACAAGAAAACAGGGGCGCAGTGCCCTCATACCCAGGCTTGCGCCCTCATACCAAACGTGGAACACTGTAGATTACGATTAGTTATAACTAAGAGTGTAACCAATAGTAACAAAGGTGTGCTCCCTTTTAAATTTTTATTTTTCTAGAAAGAACCCTGGGGATGATATTCAGCACAGACTAGCCAGTACTAGGCCATACTAAATATTACTTACGGTAGTTTTAGGAAATGGTAGCTCATATTAAACTGCGTAGCATCATTACTGAAGTTGATCTCAAATCTGATCACCATAGTTACAAATCTTTATCCTAGGCATCTTTCATGACACTGCATCTTACCTTATGACTGAATACAGCTCCAATATCTATTTTATAAGGGCAAGCTTTCTGGATTTCCTTTTCCATATCGTGCTGATCGGGAAACGACTGATAACGAATATACACATCATCTTTCAACGTGAAGGAGAACTCGCGATGACAAAAATAAGTCTTTGGAACTGAAAACAAATCATTCATTGTTATTTACATTATGAAAGTCCCTGTTCAAATAAATTAAATGCATGCAAACTTTAAACAAATCTCTCTGAAATAAATCTGAAATGATAAACATGAACACTAGTTTTCAATGATTTGTTTTGAAGATAGACATCTGAAATTTTATTTCTTAAATTTTTCGCCATTTGTCATATTATTTTTTGCCACGTTCTTACATATTTTATTAAATTAAGTTCTAAGATGATTTCTTTTTTCATTATGTCATAATAAAACATTATTATTATTTGTAGGCACATGCGCCACTAACAGAATTCAATATTGACAGTGAATTTCTTTATTTTTCACTCACTGTAATGTAATACATGTAATAATAATAATCTTTATTACACCATAGTGAGAAAACAATGTTAACTTGTTACACAGTAATGTAAAAAGCAATGTTAACTTGTTTGTTACAGCGTAGTGTGAAAACAATGTTAATTTTTTTGTTATACCGTAATGTAAAACAATGTTAACTTGTTACACAGTAATGAAAAAAACAATGTTAACTTGTTACACAGTAATGAAAAAAACAATGTTAACTTGTTTGTTACACAGTAATGAAAAAAACAATGTTAACTTGTTTGTTACACAGTAATGTAAAAACAATGTTAACTTGTTTGTTACACAATAATGAAAAAAGCAATGTTAACTTATTTGTTACACTGTAATGTAAAAACAATGTTAACTTGTTTGTAACACAGTAATGTAAAAACAATGTTAACTTGTTTGTTATACCGTAATGTGAAAACAATGTTAACTTGTTTGTTATACCGTAATGTAAAACAATGTTAACTTGTTTGTTACACCGTAATGTGAAAACAATGTTAACTTGTTTGTTATACCGTAATGTAAAAACAATGTTAACTTGTTTGTTATACCGTAATGTAAAACAATGTTAACTTGTTTGTTACACTGTAATGTAAAAACAATGTTAACTTGTTTGTTATACCGTAATTTAAAACAATGTTAACTTGTTTGTTACACCGTAAAGTGAATTAACTTGTTTGTTATACCGTAATGTAAAACAATGTTAACTTGTTTGTTATACCGTAATGTAAAACAATGTTAACTTGTTTGTTACACTGTAATGTAAAAACAATGTTAACTTGTTTGTTATACCGTAATTTAAAACAATGTTAACTTGTTTGTTACACTGTAATGTAAAAACAATGTTAACTTGTTTGTTATACCGTAATGTAAAACAATGTTAACTTGTTTGTTATACCGTAATGTAAAAACAATGTTAACTTGTTTGTTATACTGTAATGTAAAACAATGTTAACTTGTTTGGGCAGAGCTCCAGAAGGAGTACCTACACTTTATGCAAATTTTTTTTAAAAATGCTAATTTATTCATGACGTAGCAGTTTCTGTGGTCATGAATATTCATTAATTTGTGGGTCAATACATTTTTAAAGGGGCGATATATTATTTTGGGGGAAGAGTTAGAAAGGGGGATTAGCAATCCTTAGGGGGTCAATACAAAAGAAGGGACCCATTTGGAGAGCAGCCATGCTCCTCGTGTCTGTTGTTGCACGTGACCTACATCTGTCAACTGTGTTCGTTCTTCGACTGTGTT